TTCATGAGTTCAACCCCCGAGTCGGGGTCTGTGCTGACAGCTCGGAGCCTGGAACCTGCTTCGGATTCTGTGTCTCCCTCTCTCTCTGACCCTCCCCTGCTTGCACTCTGCAAACCCCCGCCATCAAAAATAAATAAACATAAAAAAAAAAAGAATGCTTTGCGCAGGGCCAACACACAGCTAACACTATTTCCTGGTCTCTGGGTGGTTAATTCCTGAGACACAGATGAGATAGGAGAAGAGAAGTAATTCTGAGCAAGTAAATGATCTGGAGGCTTGAAAGAGCCAGAAATTCTGAAGTCTGGCTCTTGATTTTTATTGGTACTTACTGGCCCAGGGAGCTTCAGCGGCAAGGAAAGGCACAGAAAGGTCAGGGGAGCTTCACCTGCGGCAACTCTGCTACTTCTACACAGACCAGCCCCTCTGAACTCCTGCTTCCCATCAATTACATAAGGAGGAATGAAAACCTCTACCAGGAAGATTGCTGTGAGGCCCCAAAGTCTATAGATGCCATTTGAAGAAAGGAGTATTGCTAAGCAAGTGCAAACTGTAAAGGGCTCTGTGAAAGCAGTTCTGTCCATCGTCATCTGCTCAGACGTTTCAAAGCATATTCACATATATCATCATCGTGAGAGCAGTTACTGCTGACTGAGCCCTACTATGAGCTAGACCCTTTGTATGCATCCTCTCGTTGACTATTCCCAACAATCCAAAGGGGGTATTATTATTACAATGCCCACTTTGCAGATAAGGAAACTGAAGCTCAGGGCAATTAGATTGTCTGGTCTTTTCTGCTAATAACTGGAACCCAGGTCTCTCTGAATCCAGACCATGTGAGTAAGACATTTTTTTAAAAACTGCTGTATCCTACCCCGTCCCCCAATTTCAGGAACTATGATGGAGCTACAGATGGAACCCAGGTCTGGCGCTGCTTCTGCTACTCCTGAGCAGTGGTCGTGCTTCCTCTGCGGTGCCGGTGAAGTTGTTCTGTTTTGTCGCTCCTCCCTTGCTCTTCCCAGGAAACCTAGTCCAGTCCTGTCCAATGGGAGGTTATGTGCAGACAGGGCACATCACGTCTGATTTGTGTATCCACAGAGGGACCATGTTTGTCCATATGTTGTGTGTGCGCATAATGCATTGGGTGCATAATTCGTGCTGCAGAATGAAATAGCCACCCTCCACCCCCTCCATTACCCAGAGAAATGAGTAGGTCCTGTGTCTTTCCGAGCTGCCCATTCAAAGACAGAAGGGGAATATGTTTTTTTTTTTTAATGTTTTATTTATTGAGAGAGAGAGAGCGCATAAGCAGGGCATAGTCAGAGAGAAGGAGGCACAGAATCCGAAGCAGGCTCCAGACTTTGAGCTGAGCTGTCAACACAGAGCCCGACGCGGGGCTCGAACCCACGAACTGTGAGATCATGACCTGAGCCAAAGTCGGACGCTTAACCGACAGCCACCCAGGCGCCCCAGAGGGGAATATGTTGTGTTACCTTTGGGAGAAAGCTTAAGTAGGAAACCTCAACCTCATGCCACTTTTTGGGGGTGCCAAAGCAAGCTGCCCAGCTTCCACAGGAAAGTGAGGTTTTCCTTCTTTGGAAAGTCTTCGTAGGCAGTGATAGCTGATGCTGCACGCATAGGGATTCCTACTTTCTTTGCAAATGGAGAGCCATAGAAAGCATTAGAGAGAGGCTGAAACAAACCCTCAGTCCTCAACCTGACTCCCTGGGGACCACAGGAGCGTCCCTTCCTACGTCAGGGTTTCTGCCACTGCCAGAGACACTTGAAGCTCTGGGCCACGGACAGTAATGAACAATAATGATAGCTAACATTGTGTGTTGGCTCATCTATTCCTCACAACCCCCAGTGAGGTAGGCACTGCCTTATCCCTGTTTTACAGATGAGATACTGAGATTGGAGAGATGAAGAACCTTACCCAAGAGGTAGAAATCCACACAGTTAGCAGGAAACACAAAAAGGCTCACTGTAGCTCTCTTTGTAAAAGCAAAAGACTAGGAACAATCCATCAGTGGGGTAGAAATAGTCATCAGTAGAGGACTGATTAAGTGAAGTCCGGTATGTCCACATGAAGGGAAACATTACATGTTTATAGGTCAGACATATAAACTTTATATGTATGTCACACTTCTGACACCAAATGTGTGGGTTTTCCACACCAAGCAATTCTCTAATTCTCATCAGACACCAACTAGAGGTCATATGATTAAATTCAGTTCTGACACTAACTACCTAGAGTCAGCACAGACCCCAGAGGTTAAGGGCTCAGTCTCACACTACCCCACTTTAGATGCCAATTGCAAGTAGTGGGTTCCCAGGTGACCCCCACTTCTTTCCAACTTGGCTGCAATTCCAGGGGTTCCCATGACTCTCTCCTTAGGTTCAATATTGTGGCATGAGGGCTCAGGGAGATGCTTTATTTACATTTACTGGTTTATTATAAAGGCTATTATAAAGGATACCAGTGAACAGCCAGATGAGGAGTACATAGGGCAAGGTATGGAAGGGTCCCCAGAACAGAAGCTACTGTCCTCTCAGAGTTAAGGGGGTGTGGATGTGTTCGCCAACCCAGAAGCTCTCTGCATCCTGTAGTCCAGGGATTTTTGTGGAGGCTTTATCACATCGGCACGATTGATCATTAACTTGATCTCCAGCCCTCCTCCCTTCCCCCAGATTGGTGGGGGAGGAGCTGAAAGTTCCAAGCGTCTAATCTTGGCTTGGTTATTCTGGTGACCAGCCTCTATTCAGAAGCAATCTAGGAGCCCACCTTGAATTGCCTCATGACAGCAAAAGATGCTCCTCTCACCCAGGAAATTCTAAGGGATTTAGCATCTCTGTGCTAAGAATTGAAGATGGTGACCAATCATCTATTTCTTTTTTTTAATGTTTATTTATTTTTGAGAGAGGAAGAGAGAGAGTCAGAGCACAAGTGGGGGAGGGGCAGAGAGAGAGATGGATACACAGAATCCAAAGCGGGCTCCAGGTTCTCAGCTGTCAGCACAGAGCCCAACATGGGGCTGGAACTCACCAGCTATGAGATCATGACCTGAGCTGAAGTCAGACGCTTAACCAACTGAGGCACCCAGGCACCCCTATCTATTTCTTATTATACCAGAATATCACACCATACAAGAGTACAATGCAGCTATGAAAGGGGTCTGAGATGGAGACATCTCCAGGGTATTTTATTAACTGAAAAAAAGCCAGATGCGGATGTGATACACTTCTTTTGATCTAAGAAAGGAGAGCGAAATATATTCAAATACTTGCTTGTATTTTAAAAACCCACAGTGGAAGGATAAGCCAAAAATAGACAAAATGGTAATTTTATGGGCTGGAAGGGACAGGGAGGAGGAGACAGGAATGGATCTAGATTTTTCTGAGCATTGTGTTTTCCGGATGTGACTTTGGAACCATGTAACTATTTCATATAGCCATCAAACAGATTAATTGAAATTCTGCAGAAGGAAAGGAAACGGATGGAGATGGGTTTGTGTCCAGGTGTCCAACTGGACTCTCTGCTGCTCTTGCTCCTCATTAACTAGCCCTTCTCAAAGCAATGGAGACACCTGGCCAGGCCAGCAAAAAACAGATCTGGAACCTTCCAGGGTCCCAGGGGGGTGGTGATGGGGGCTGTGGCTTTAGTATTTGGGGGCCTCTGTAATTGGTGGCTCTCAAAATTCCCACATCTCTCTTCTGCAGCCCTCAAGTGGGTTAGCCCCCAAGCATATCATTCACAGAGTGGCCACACTGCTCCTTACCCGCCTCCAGCTCAGCCTCACCAGCGCTGGCCTCGTGCACACTGTGCTACCAATCTTAACACGCCACCTGAGGGGGGTTCAGCTTCCTGGCAAAGAGCTTTCCTACATGTGACATTGTTTCCTCCTCTTGGCAACTCTGGCCCCGGGAATGATTCTCTCAGTGAGGAACACAGTCTAGGCAGGGTGTCTCCTATGGCCTGGGAAAAACTGCAAGGTGGCCTAGTCCCACTTCTGTGGTGGCACAGCTCGACTCCAATCTGCAGGATCCCATACAGGGCTTTTTTTTTTTTTTTTTTTTTTGTAGAGATGAGGTATCATTTCGCATATGGGCTGAGGCTTCGTTTTGGGCTCAGACAGACATAAAATTGAAACCCAGGTGTCCTTCTTTCTAGCAATAGGCTCTTCATCAAACGTTACATTTTTTTTCTCATCTAGAACAATAAAAGTACCTTCTGGAAAGGTTGCTGGAGGCATAAATGAGATGTCACCATTTGTACCTAATGCACAGACAGGTTGACTATATGCTCAAAACTCTAATCTTCTTCACCTGGTTATCAAAGCCACCTCCTTATCCTGCCATGTCTGACCCCCACTAAGGACAAGCCTGGTGGGGGGTGCCTCATTTCCCACGGCTCCAGGACCCCTGGTGAGGTAGCTTTCTCAGCGGCTCAGCTCAGGAGAGGCCCCTCTCTGCTAAGTGTTAAGTCCTGATCGATCGCCATCTCAGGGTCATTTTGAGGATTAACTAATCTATCACACGGAGACCTTTGAAAAGCACCAATATGGCCGAGGCTATTGTCAGGCAGACCGGAAACTGAGTTCACCGATTTCTCTGGCTTCCAAGATGCTCACACCGAGCTTTGCCGCTGGACGAACTCTCCTGGGGGCAAAATCTCAGCATGTGCCGGTTGCACTGAGCTCACCGGCCGTCTGTCTGCCCACCTGCCGCTGGACCCTTTTGATCTACCTCTTTGTTTCTTTAAGGGACAGTGAGGGTAAGAAGATAAAGGGATCAGGATTCCGGACACCAAAGAGCTTTTGTTTGTGTTTCCACTAGAACTGAATACATTACATTTTCCCTCTTGGCATCAGTCTATTGACTCAAGGCATAGTTCTGAGATTTATACCTTTCTGATTTCATGTTTTGTAAACCTACGGGGTATGTTTTGTATCCTCTGAGGTGTGAACTCCACAATACAAAAATGAATGCAGCAATTCACTTAGTGCATCACTGAGTATTTATTGAGTGCCTCCTGTATGTTCAGCTGTATACATGCAGCTCAGAAGTTGCCTGAGGGAAAAAGAGAAGTTCCTGTGTGTTTAGACCTCTTGTGTGCAAGGCTCTGTGATGCACCTTAGTTGCATCATCTTGTTTGATTCTGACCACTCCGGGAAATGGGTATTGCTATCCCATTTCACAGGCGAGGAAAGAGACTCAAAATTCTGTATCTTGTCAAGATCATTCGTAGTAGAGGCAGCCGGAGTGTCTGTCCAGTGCTATCTGACGGTACCATCTGGGTCCTTTCCACTAGAACCCAGCGGGGGGAAGAAAAGGATACACATGGGTCAACGGCGTGAAGTCGCAGATTATGGATTCCAGACTGCCTGGGTCAGAGCAGGTGCGGAAGGGGGAGGGAATGGCCTGATGGTCAGGAGGACTTCCTGCAGGAGACAGCCCAGGTGGGACTTAGGGCAGAGGTTGGGGGCTGGGCGGTGGGCATGCTACATAAAGCAGGTCCTGGGCAGGAATGAACTTGAGCACAGACAGCGTTGAGACAGCATGGCCCTGAGGTCAGCTAGGTGGGGCCTGAGGTGGAGGCGTGGGAAGCCTGGCAAGAGCCATCTGGACCAGATAAGGTGGTAACAAGGAGCCAGCAGGAACCAGATCCTTGGAAGCGATGCCTGCAGAGGATGACACTGCAGTGCTGGCTGGGAGGAGTGAAGAGTTGAGGCCTGGAGACGTAGGGGCCAGGCACGCCCGGCGGAAGGGGTCCACCCAAGGGGAGTCTAGTCCTCCTGGACCCAGGGAAGGGGGGGGCAGGGGAAGGAGAGATGGAATTTGGAGGCCTCGGTGCAGGATGCTCTTGACGGACGAAGGACAGGGAAGAGTGTATTCCATTGCAGATTGCTTTCCAACCCTCCTCCGGTCACACCACGCCACCGCTCACGGCTGCGCGGGGTCTTCCCGTGGCCTGTAGGATCGGCGGGACACTTCGGGCGCCTCGCGGTTTGGCCTGAATCTACTTCACCCACTGTGCTCCTAAATAAGTCCTCCACTCTCCTGCTTCTCCCGGCCTCCGAGGGGGCCCGCGTCCTGGCCCCCCACCCCGCGCTGGCCTCCACAAAGCCCACCAGCCGCCCAGGCGCTCCAGCTACCAAGGCAGCGACAACCACGGTGTTGGAATCGCCTTCTAGAGCTCTCCTGCACAGTCCTGACGAATTCCCATTTTACTGTTACTTAACTTCTGCTGTCCCCAGTCTCCCTGAAGTCACCGCCCTGTCCTTGAGGGCTGGCTGTTCTTTCACTGGAGTTGTCCTGCCTTCGGGGACATCACTTTGCCTTTCAGTCTGAGTCCTCACCTGCCGAAGGGAGCCAATAACGGGCACAGTGCCTGGCCCAGGGGCCCATTCATGACCGTTCCAGGCTTTTCCTCCGGCGTGGGGTGGTCCGCGGGAAGGCGGGGTCACCAGGTCAGAGGGAAAGGGGGTGCTGCAAGCCCCTGGGAGGAACCCTTCTTCGTGCTTTTGGATCTCCGCATTTCTAAGGGACCGCTGGCACCGCACCAAGATCATCCGGCATCACAGATTTCTTCGGCAAATAAAGGAACCCTGAGTTACAAATTCGGGGCGGACTCCCGGGGGCCGCCAACGCCCGGTCCTGGGGCTGAACCTTCGCAGCACGTGCCGCGCGGTCTTGGGCTGTTTACAAAGTGCGGTTCGCTGACCTCGATCTCCTTGAAAACCTTTCCCGACCCCGCAGGCTCCCTCTCCCCACCTCCACGGGGACAGAAGAGGAGGACACCGGGACTCGGGGAGGCGACGCGCCTGGCCCCAAGCGGCCCAATGCGCTGGCGCTCAGGGGCCGCACCCTCCGGCGGGGTCTGCGCTCCCTGGGGCTGGGGGTGCGGAGGGCTCAAAGGCCGGCGCGGGCCGCAGGGTCCCGCTCGCTCGGCTCCGGAGCCGCGCGTGGGGGGGCGCGCGTGGGGGCATGAGGGGTTGACGCCCTCGGCCACAGCGGGGGCAGGGGGCGCAGCCCCCCAGACTCTCCAGAGCCGCCCGGGAGCCACCTTCCACCCCCCCACCCCCACCCCCACCCCCACCCCCACCCCCACCCCCATCCCCGCCGGGCGCGGCCCCGCGGACGCGCGTTCCGGGCTCCGCCGGCGATTCGAGGCGCGCGCCCCGTCCCCGCCTCTCCCCCGCACGCGCGCGCCCCTCGCGCCGCCACCCCGCCCCTCCCGCGCGCGCGCGCGCGCCCCTCCCGCCGCCACCCCGCCCCCGCCGGTACCCTCGCCGGACCCGTGAGAGCGCGCCGCCGCCATCTTAGTTGCTGCCGCCGCCTCCAGCCAAGCGCTGCCTCGGCGGAGGGGAGGGCGCCCGCGGCCCGAGCGCGCGGCCCAGCGTCGCGCCGGCGGCTCGGCGGCTCCCGGAGCTCTCCGCGGCGCGAAGCAGCCGGCCCCGGGCCGCCAGAGCCCCGCTCGGCGCCCCGCGCGCCTGCCTGCCGCTCCCGCCTCGGGCCGGCCGCGGCGCCGCGAGCCCGAGCGATGCTGCGCCGCCCTGCGCTCGCGCCGGCCGCGGCCGCCTGGCTGCTGCTGGCCGGGCTGCTGAGCGGCGGCGGGGTCTGGGCCACGCGAGGTAAGCGGCGGGCGCCGGGGAAGCCGGGCTCGGGCCCCGGGCGGCGGCGGCGGCGGCGGCTGGCGGGGGGTGGGGGTGGTGGCGGCGGGGGGCCGTGCAGGCGGGCCCGGGGGTCGGGCGCCCCTGCCTCCGCAGCGCCCGCGGGCGGGGGTGCACCGCGGGGAGGGTCCGCGTCCGGGTGTCGGGGGCTCGCGGGGCTGGGGGGCCCGCGCGGGGCTGGGCGTGCGCTTACATAAGCCCACTCCTCCGCATCCCCGTCCGGGATCCCGGCTCTGCCGCTGCGCCGCGGACGCCGCATCCTCGCCCCTTTCCGCCTCCTCCCCGGGGTCCTTTAAATCGGGTCCGTCTGCAGACGGACCGAGGCTGAAACTTGTCGCTTCGCTCCCCTCCCGCGTTGTATCCAAGGGTGAAATTGTGATCGAGGTTTACGGTCCCCGGCTCACCAGCCGCGTTTGGAAAGCCGCGTCTCCTCCGCTCCCGGCACCTTGGTGCGGGCTCTTTTCCTGACGGTCATTTAGATCGTGAGGGGGCTTCGCAGGTCCTCGGCGGAAACCTCTCTCTGGTTCCTCAGGGCCGAAATTATGTTATGGTTAACTTGGAAAAAAAAAATATATATATATTTCCTAGTGGATGGGTCGTCGTTGTTTTCACCTTCATGCACTTAACCTTTTAAACAGTACGCGCTTTCTGATATTGACCGATCTTGCCAGCGAAAAGCTTACGCATTGCAGATACAGGCTTCCGAAGGGATCGTGGAATCGTCAACATTTCCCTTGGCCTGGGGGGCAGAGTAATCCAGGTGTCGTCTATAGGGTACTTGGATCTATTCTTTTGGTTTTTGTTTTTAATAAAAACATCTTTTAGGGAGTGGAGAGGCCTGGTCTAGATGAAATGGTCCTATTTCATACTAGCAGCCTTTAAAAAATATCCTCATTTTCTGTTCCTTGGCATGGCATATGGAGAGAAGTATGGTGTTGACAAATTAAAGGGCAGAAGAGGCAAATGTGTCTTTTGTCCCATGTTCCTTTCTTCACATCGAGGAGGATAATGAACTTTGACTGCTTCTTTCCGTTCATTTCTGACATTCTGTTGACCGGCATAGTCAGGTTTTCATCACTAAGTATCTAATGGCCCTCAGTTTGCTTTTTAAAAGTTGTATCAAGCTGAGTGTGAAGTGTTCTTTCCAGATGTGGAATGGAGGTCTGAAAGTCTCATATATCCAAGAGAAAATGTCAGAGTTCTGCTTCTCTTGGGGAAAACCCACACATTTCAAAAATATGTGCTTGGATTGGGTATTTTGGGAACCGTTGAAATATATTTAGTTTAGTCGGTGATAACATTTCTTGTTAAAATCCCTATTTTCCTGTTTGTCCATTCATCTCCATTTGCTGTTCATTATTAAATTACGTGGATACTTAACAAATATATTTTCAGTTATCATATATCTTCATGATGATGGAAATCTTATGTGAAAGATGTGTTGAGGGCTTTGTAAATTGCTAACTTCCTAAGCTTTTCTGGTGCATTTATAGTACTTAAGAATAGTCTTCAAAATAAAAACACATTTTGAACATCAGTTTTTTTTTTCCCCCCCCCCCCCCCCCCCCGCTTGCTAGGTAGAAAATGTCTTGTGAATACTACAAGAAATGCTAATAAAACGGTTTCATTTTGAGGGGTTACAAATGGTTGTGGAGACACTTTCTGTGGGTTCATTTCAAAGGTGATCATTTTAACTATTATCTGAGTCTTTAAAAAATTTCTGTAGGTTTTTAAAAAAATGTTTATTTGTGAGAGAGAGAGAGCGCGTGTGGAGGGGCAGAGAGAGGGGGACAGAAGATCCCAAGCTGGTCTCTCCCATGCCGACAGCGGAGAGCCCGATGCGGGGCTCAAACCCCAAAACCTTGAGATCATGACCTGAGCTGAAGTCGGATGCTCGACCAACTGAGCCACCCAGGTGTCCCTAATAGCTGACTCTTTTATTGCTGTAAGACAGCCTGACATGAGCTACTGGTTGGTCATACTCTACCTCTAATAATTGTTAATGGGATAAAAGCAGTATCAACTGATGGAGAAAATGTTAGGTTTTGTAATATAAATTGCATTTTGACTATTCATTAGTTGTTTAATAAGTCCAGATTTGACTTTGATTTGTAGCTGTAGTTATTAAAAAAATATCGAGTAAATTAAAATATTAGGCATATCCTTGGCATGCCCTAGGCTGCTTACTTTCTCTCCAGTCAGTCAGTCAATGATTGGGAAATAGTAAGTTGAAATAGAGACTCTAGAAAGCTCAGGGGTATATATATATTTTTAAATGTTTATTTATTTTTGAGAGAGAGAGAGACAGAGAAAGAGAGGGGGAGACACAGAATCCGAAGCAGCCTCCAAGCTACCAGCAAGCACAGAGCCAGATGATGGGCTCGAACCCACAAACCATGAGATCATGACCTGGGCTGAAGTCAGATGCTTAACTGACTGAGCCACCCAGGCGCCCCAGGAGTATTTTTAAAAAGTGCTATCATGGACTGCATTTCAAAGCCAGAGAAATAATATTCATTGTTATTTTCTGGTTTGTTTGTATACACACTTCTCAGTGAGTCCTCTCCCCACCATCCTGTGTGAAATTACATTTCTCTCTGAACCCCTGAATCCTCCCTCCCCTGCCTCATTTTTTTCTCTTTCCACAGCACTTACTCCCATTGTACCGCCCTTATTTTGTTTATTGTCTGGCTCGCCTCTCTAGGACATAGGCCCTTCCAAGACAGACGGGTGCTTGGTGTGTTTTGTGCGGGTGTGAACCCTGTCACCCGCACACAGTACCCGCAGGTACTCAGTATTTGTTGAGTGAGTGATTGGATGGACACCTGTCAGTTTTGACAGCATGGAATTTCATGTCCTTTTTTTTTTTTCATATGACAGATAAATGTTCCACACTGAAAGCGGCATTACAGAGTATAAAACAAACTTAAATTCTGCAACGTGGGTGTAGAAATTGATTAGTAGATAATTCTGCAATGATCTGTTCTGTTGATTGCACTGTTGGGGGATATTAGATCATAAAAATTGGGAGCAGCTCTTGAAGGCTGTAGCTTTGTGGCTACCACTTAGAGCCTAACTTTTAAAAATACTGTGATTCTCTGCTTTTTTGGAAAGTGGTTTCTTATTTTGTTACCTTTTTCCCCCCCAGAACCAACTTTGAGGAAAAGTCATTTGAGTATAGACTTCAATATTATGTTTAATCTCATGTTTGTGTTTGTGAAAGTAAAGGTCATTTATTTTACACAGGAGACCTATAACTATTAAAGAAATGATAAAATTAATAATTCTGGATGTATTCTGATGTCAGAGCTTTCACTCCGTTAACTGGAGCCTTCAGTTAACTAGAGTTCATCTTCTGACTGCAGAGTGCTTTTAGACCACCTCTTAATGTTTAAAGTGAGGATGTTAAAGTTTTAAGAGATCTTTAAAAAAATTGAATTATTTTTATTATTGCTTTCTGAGGCAGGAAAATACCATTTCTGGGGGTAAAGTTTTTGTGCATAAGTTGAAAAGAAATAGGAGGTCTGAATATCCTGAAAGTCACCGAGAGTCTATTTCTCACATATTCTGGTTAATTGAGATTTGAGATTATGCTTTAAAAAAAATACACCTTGCTTTTTCTGTGGTCTTGATTTGGTTAGATCAGAGATGTTTGAAGATACGTTATGTCTTTTATAAATGGAATGTAAGGTTATTTGTTACAAAATACATATTTTGGTAGAACGTCAGAAATACAGATTCAAGATTGGTGGAAATGATTCACTCAGCGTTGGGTACTTCACTGACAAAGAAAAACAAAACAAAAGTGACATTTTGATAACGGCAGAGACGTAAAGGCCGGAGATGAGAACCCTTGAACTGTGACGTTCCCCTGCTTGCTGGCAGGCTAATGGACCTCGCCTGTTTTTTCATAGAGCCACCATCACCTAGGTAGTTGGGATACGGCATTTGTTTGTCCCTGATTTTTTTTTATTAAAAATTTTTTTTTAATGTTTGTTTTTGAGAGAGCGAGGCAGAGCACAAGTAGGGGAGAAGCAGAGGGAGAGGGAGACAACAGAATCCAAAGCAGGCTCCAGGCTCTGAGCTGTCAGTACAGAGCCTGACGTGGGGCTTGAACTCCCGAACCACGGGATCATGACCTGATGAGCTGAGGTTGGACACTCAACCAACTGAGCCATCCAGGGTGTCCCTGTTTCTCCTTGATTTGATAGGTCCTTTCTCTTCTGTGTTTTAGGCATATTTTTGTTCATTTTCTCATTTAGCTCTAGGATGATATTGTTCAAGTTTTTCACAAGATGTGTGGCTGAGGCTTTTTCATTTTTAAAGTTTTAGGTGAGGGGTGCCTGGGTGGCTCAGTCGGTTAAGCGTCCAACTTCGGCTCAGATCATGATGTCACAGTTCGTGGGTTCGAGCCACGCGTCGGGCTCTGCTGACAGACAGCTCAGAGCCCGGAGTCTGTTTCAGATTCTGTGTCTTTCTATCTAACCCTTCCCTGCTCACGCTGTCTGTCTGTCTGTCTGTCTCTCTCTCTCTCTCTCTTTCTCTCAGAAATAAATAAAACATTAAAAAAAATTTTAAGTTTTAGGGGAACAATCATTTACTTTGCAATAACTGAATTTAGAACATCTTAAAGACCTATAAACCACATCTTCTGTTCCAGAACCTCAGTAAGTAGGTTGTAAAGGAAGAATCATGTTTTGCCTCTGACCTGAGGTCAGACATGAATATTCTCTTTCCGTCCTCTGTTTTGGACTAGTCTGATTCTCTTGTGACAAGAGTCTGCTACTTTCCAAGTCTACTCTGACCTGTACTTTCTTAAAATCACTGTTTAGGACAGAGGTAGACTTTATTTTCCTTAAGCCCCTTTAAAAAATTTTTTAAAAATAATCTGTTTTTTTTTTTTTTAAGACATTTATTTTTGAGAGAGAGCATGTGTGCATGTGCACGTCCGCGAGCAAGCAGGGAAGGGGCAGAGAGAAAGGGGACAGAGGATCCGAAGCAGGCTCCTCCCTGACAGCCGACAGTTGAGAACCCAGGAACCCAGTGCGCGGCTGGAACTCAGGACCCACTCAGGAACCGAGAGCTCATGACCTGAGCCGAAGTCAGATGTTTAACCAACTGAGCCACCCAAGTGCCCCTTAAAATTTTAAGTAATCTCTACGCTCAGCATGGGGCTCAAACTCACAATGCTGAGATCAAGAGTTGGGTGCTCTACCGACTGAGCCAGCCAGGCATCCTTCTTTTTTAAATTTATAAACAGCTTTATTGAAAAGTAATTCACATTTCATAACATTCACCCTTTTTTTTTTTTAAAGTTTATTTATTTATTTTGAGAGAGAGAGTGCAAGTTGGGGAGGAACAGAGGGAGAGAGAGACTCCCAAGTAGGCTCTGTGCTGTCAGCACACGGCCAGCATGGGGCTCGAAGTCCCCAACCGTGAGATCATGACCTGAGCTGAAATCAAGAGTCTGACGCTTAGCTGACTAAGCCACCCAGACGCCCCAAGGTTCACCCTTTTAAAGCCCACATTTCAGTGATTCTAGTATATTCACAAGACTCTGTAACCATCATCACTAATTTCAGATTTTTTTTTTAAAGTCATCTCTGTACGCAGTGTGGAGCTCGAACTCATGACCCTGAGATCAGAGAAGTTGCATGCTCCCAGACTGAGCCAGGCACCCTATTTTCAGAACATTTTTATCACCCCAAGGAGGAACCCCATAGCCCCTGGCTGTCACTCTGAATTCCCCTTCCCTCCAGCTCCTGGTAACCACCAGTCTATTTCTGTCTCTGGATTCTGGACGTTTCATACAATGGAATCATACACCACGTGGCCTATTTGTCAATAGCTTCTTTCACTTGATATTTCCAGGGTTCACGCGAGTCGTAGCGTGTGTCGGAACTTCATGCCTTTTTATGGCTGCATAACGTTGGCCCTGGGTTTGTGTCCCTCCAAGATTCATACGTTGACACCTAGCCCCCAGTGGTATGGTATCTGGAGATGGGCCTCTCGAGAGGATAGAGCCCTGGTGACTGGGATGAGTTCCCTCTGAGAAGCCGGAGAGCTCCGCTTGCCGCTGCCACCAAGGGAAGACGCCGCGAGAAGATGGCCTCCGCAAACCGGAAGAGGGGTGTCACCACAACTGGAGCACGCTGGCACCTTGATCTCGGACTTCCCAGCCTCCAGGTCTGGGAGGGGGACATTTCTGTTGTTTCTGAGCCACCCAGTCTGTGGTAATTTGTTTTGGCAGCTGAAATAGACTAAGGTACTATTTCTTTGTCTGGATATACCGCATTTTGTTGATCTGTTCGTCAGTTGCTGGACATTTGGGTGGTTTTCCACTTTGTGGCTGCAGTGAGTAATGCTGCTGTGAACGTTTGTGCGCTGGCTTTGTGTGGACGTGTGATTTCAGAACTCTTGGGTTTGCACTGAAGGGTGGAATTGCCGGGTTGCGTGGTGCCCCTCTTTTACATTTCAGGGGGACTGCCGAACCGTTTCCTAAAGTGGCTGCACCATTTCCCACTCACTCTTGACCTCTGTAATCATTCCTGGGAGCTTTTTTCCTAATCCAATGCATATTTCACAGTTGTCTAAGTTTTCTTAGAAGAATTTTAAGTTGCTGATTTTTTTCTGCTTTAGTGATAAACTGGCATTTCATCCAACTAGCTCCTTCCTCCCTCATCTCCCGTATCATTTCCAGCGTTGAAAGGTTGGCCCTCCACACCTAAGTAGCCTTCCCTGTAAAAACAGATGTTTCCCACACTTCCCTGACATTTGATCACTCAGCGTGGGCACCTGCTAGCACAGAAAGCAATGCTTTCCTTAAAGTGTAAAGATTTGAGTCTGCTTTCCTCAGGTCCGGAGTTTACCAGGCCTTCAGATCTGCCTCATCCAGCCCACAGCTTTGTTTGTACCGCCACTCAGTTTAAGAAAGGCCGAGCCATCTGCAGCCTGCATCCCACCCCAGGCCCTGCTCTCCCGCTGTGATCTGAGGAATGAGCTCGGACAGTACAGACCCCGCGACTTGAGGGACAAGCAGAGGGAGCCCCCAGGTTCCAGGAGCAGACTTTCACTTTTTGAAAGGAACTGGACAAAACGCTAGAATCCGTAAACCGCTAGTTCAGAATGTGATGTTACTTAGGCGCCTGGGTGACTCCGTCCGTTAGGCGTCCACCTCTTGGTTTTGGCTCAGGTCATGATCGCACGGTTTGTAAGTTTGAGCCCTGCATCAGGCTCTGTGCTG